TGAATTGCTGATGAAGGAGAAAGGTGGCCAGTGCTATGCTGAATTTATTGTGAGTGGAAGAAAGCAAGAAAATACTATGGACTCCAAAGCAGATATATCATCAAAACTACCAGATATCCTAGAAAGGAAGGTAAGCTAAGCATTACATGGTTCAGAATAGTAATCTCTCACATTTTCATGATGCTTTTAACTCTAAGAAAGTATTTGTATAGGATCTAGAAATCCAAAAGGACCTTAGAGATCATCTAGCCCAAGCTCTTCATTTTTACAGATGAGGAATTGATCATTAATGGTTAGGTGATTTGCCTTATGGGATAAAGGAGGTTTGATTCTGAGCATCTGTACTATCTTTGAACTTCTTGGTTTTGTCTTACCCTATAGACCAAGGGAGTTTGGTGGCTATTTGTTCTTATGAAGATCCACATTTGAGAAGGATGTGTCCATAGACTTCTTTGATGTATTTCATTTTATTTCTTTTCTTACTCGTATGATTTTAAAAAACCCATACATGTATGTATATATATATGAAAATTACATATATACAAACACATATATATGTATGAATGTGTGTGCATGTGTATATAGGTATATAAATATATGTTTGTATATATATTATATATATGATGAAATAAGTCCAGACACTAAATCCTTATATTAATAAGACTAGCATTGCCACCGAAATGGGGTAGAGAAAACACAGGAGAGATAGCCATTTCTTTGAGAGATGTAAAGAGTTTGGTGTTAATTCTGAGGGCCCTCAGCCATTGGAGGGAGCACATGACCAGTGAGGGTGAAAAAGTGGAATTATGGGAAAGAGCTGCTCTTTCTCTTTATTACTGAATAGGTTCAGACAGCTGGCCAACAATGTCCTCTTTGTGGTTAAATATAAAACGAAAGTGTCAGATTGTATAATACTTAGGCAACAGTACACTGTTCCTATAGCACAAAAGCTCTGGAGAATAATGGTGAGAATTATAGTCATCACGTGTGGAGTCACTGGATATTCCTGCCACATTTGAGAGCCCTTCATAGAGAGGTATGTGATAACAAATCAAGAAAGAAGTAGATACAAGCAAAACCTTACAGGAGTGGCAATTTTTGAAATTGTCTCATATAGGTCCTCTCCTTTCCCCAGTGGAGTCAGTAGTATGAGCAATAGATGAACTAATTGTCTTTCTGTGTAGACCTAGTTGGCCTTGTGCTAGGCCAGAAGTCCTTAACCTGGAGTCCATGAACTTTAAGAAACATTTCAATAACTATATTTCAATATAATTGGTTTCCTTTGTAATCCTACATGTTTTATTTTATGCATCTAAAGGCATTATTCTGAGAAGTGATCCATGAACTTTTATAGATTGCCAAAGGGGTTTATGATGCAAAAAAGTTAAGAATTCCTCTTCCAGACTCTTGAACATTTAGGAGGAGAAGTACTATGGGTTCTATTGATGACTTCTGGACTAATATGCTCTTCAAAAGCTTCAAATACTGATCTTTGAACGGTGTTTTTAAAATTTGTTTTGGAAGAAGATGAATTTGGTGATTCACGTGGGATGTTTCCTTCTTATTTTTCAGAGTTGTGTGATAGGAGTCAAAACACATCAAAAGGAACCCAGTCTACCTGGTAAGACTACATTTTGAGTCTTGTCCTATTCCCTGAGTATATATTAATGCATCTCCTCAGGCAAAAGGAAGTAGAAAGAGGAACCAATTGCCCAGATAATTTAGATCCTTAAATGCAGCATAACGACAACAATAATTCACATTTCTATAACAGCAGCTGGACAGGGCAGTGGATAGAGTACTGGGCTTGGAGTCAGGAAGATCTGAATGCAAATCTGGCCTGACTACTAGCTGTGTGACCCTGGTTAACCTCTATCTACCTCAATTTCCTCAACTGTAAAATGGGAACAATAATAGCCTCTACCTCTCAAGGTTGTTATGAGGACCAAATAAGATAATATTTGTAAAGAGATTAACACAGTGCCTGGCACATAGTAGGCACTTAATACATAGGCACTTAATAAAAACTTATTTCCTTCTTTCCTTCCCATAATAAATGATAAATAAATCCTCTCATGTTCTGCTGCGACATCACATTTTTTTCTTTTCTTATTTGGTATTTAAGTTTTACTATTTAAGTTTATGTTTCTTTTTCTTTTCTTATTGTGTATTTGAGTTTTAGAAAATCTTAAAAAACAAAACCAAAACCAGAATAATCCAAATGAGGATTGGGGTCATCACAGATATCCATAGGCCATGTGGCTCACTTATATGAGTTGTTTAGAAGACTAGAAAGATGAAGTTGTGTGTGGACTTAAATTAGAAAAGTAAGGTAGACCAGTAGTACATCATGCTATGGATTCAGTCATTGTTGTAGACCTGCATGGAATATACCATCAGATCTCTATGGATAAGGACAGACCAGTTTGAGTAGATGTCCCAAAAGAATTCTGGGCCACCTGCCACTTACCCTATCAGTGTTCCAAGCAACTGTAAGTTGCAATGCAGGTGCTAAGCTGCCTTGGTAGTGGGTGTTTCTTCCCCAGGATTCCTTATACCAATAAAATCACAAGTTTGGCCCCCCCAATTTGTTGTATGTATTACAGTTATTTAGATTCCTGTCTTATAAGACTACAGATGCCATGTGAATAGGAGTACTGTTTTAGCTAAACTCTGTATCTCTCCAAGCATATGGCACAAGGCTCTGCACACTGGTTTTTAATGTGTTTGTTATTTGACTTGACTGACAAAATGCTTCACTCACTGAGGCAGGTTCCCTGCTCCTTTCTGATGATAAATCATGAAAATGCCTCCTATAAAAGTGCCTTCTATTCTTTCTCTGCCCACCATCATGCCTAGTACAGATTTGACCATCTCATTGATTGCTTATTGAATGCCTTATGAGTGGAATTGAATTGTAATGAAATAGCATACACTCTCTTGTTATACTGATGGCCTGGTGGAGGTCAGAGGGAATGACTATTAATGGGTCACTTTTGTGCCAACAGAACCAGATGACAAGAGCCAGGAGCAGGGGAGAGAGCCAGAACTGGCCTCTGGATCCTCAGAACTGAGAATTCTCCTCTTGGGGAAACATGGTGCAGGGAAGAGTGCAACAGGAAACAGCATCCTGGGGAAGCGAGTGTTTGAGTCCAAGTTCAATGACTTTCCAGTGACCAAAACTTGCAAGAAAGAAAGTGGAACTGTGGGGAAGAGGGAAGTTGTGATCATTGATACTCCTGATCTTTTCTCTCCAAGGATCTCTACTGAAGAGAGGGAACAAGAGATCAGGCACTGCATCACCCTCTGTTCCCCTGGCCCCCACATCCTGCTCTTGGTGACCCCTCTTGGCCATCACACAGTGGAAGATAAAGAGATAGTGAAGGGCATTCAGGAGTTCTTTGGAGCTGAAGCCAGGAGGCACATGTTACTTCTCTTCACAAGGAAAGAAGATCTGGAAGATGAGTTACTTCCAGTGTATGTTGAAGAAACTGATAATGAGTACCTGAAGGAGCTGGTTCAGGACTGTGGGAATCGGTACTGTGCTTTCAACAACAAAGTAGATGGGGAAGAACAGAATTCTCAGGTTCAGGTGCTCCTTAAGCACATTGAATTGCTGATGAAGGAGAAAGGTGGCCAGTGCTATGCTGAATTTA